TGTCTTTATTAATAGCTTATTTATAAATAACTATAATTTTACCTTATAACTTAGCTTTATTATTATACTTACTAATAAAAGTAACGTTACGTAACCTACTGCTAACAGTAAGAAATTTACACTTACTAGTAATATTATCTACTTTAGCTTAATAAAGTATAAAAAAGTTATATATAGCGTGCTAGCCTCTAAAGTCTATAGTATAGTTACTAGCACTAACGTTACCTATATAATTAGCACTACACTTATAATAATTACTAACTGCCTTAAGTTATTATAAATCCTAATAATCCTTTACACTAACTTATACTCCCTCTATAAGTGCCTTATAAAGCTTAGCACTACTAAGGAGAAGTAACTTATAATTAATATTATAGCGCTTTACTAGTTATATAAGTAATATAAGATCTATAAGATCTAATAGATATAAGGGGAGGATAACCTAGTAAATAGATTTATAAAGGTATTACTTAATAAAGCGCTAGAGTAGTTAATTAATAGTAGTTAATTAGAGATATAGATAAATAAATAGGTTTTTTGTATATAATAGATTACGTATATAAAAAGTATTAAATACTTTTTAGCCTTTTGTTTTTATTACGTTTTTAGGCCTCTTATAAATAACTAGAAAATAGGGATAACTTATAGCACTTTAGAAGGTTGCTAGTGTTATAATGTTAACTATTGCCTAGATATTAGTAATATAGATTAACACTAATTAGTTAGAATAACTATAGCTAATTTACTGTAGATCTACTAGATCTATAGGGATATTACGTAGTGAATTTGCTATATAATCCTATAATAGTTTTCCTTCTTTACGTATAATTTAGAACTAGTATTTACCCCTATTATTTGTTACTTACCTATTAATACGTATAGTTAACCGTATTACCACCCTAGTGAAACTAACATTTACCTTTTACTAAGGACTTAAGGATAACGTTAAAGATAAACTTATTAAGATTATTAGCCTACTAAAGGACTTTTTATTTTATATTAGACTTACTATTAAAATTAATATATAACTCTTTAAATAATATAAGGAATAAGGAAAGACTTAATAACTTAACGTAAATATAGATAAGAAGTACGCCTAAGGACCTAAGTAGCTATACTAATAGAATGAAGGATAAAGCAGCTAGTAGTAACTATATAATAACTATCTAAGCACTACTTATAGATAATATATAGGACTAATAGACGTTAGTGTTATAAAGAAATAAGATTAGTAACTAGTATAAGACGTTAGCACTATAAAATACTATAATTATAAAAAAATAAGACACTTTATATAAGACTATAGTTAGCTAAAGAGACTATAGTATAAGAATATACCTAAGTATACTAAAAAGGCTAGAATAGCCTAGAAGGATATCCCTTATAAATAACTCTTATAGACTGCCTGCTATAATAATAACTGTCTTACCTATAGGGAAAGTAAGGAATAAGTAAGATAGTACCTGAAGAAGCTAAGAAACACTACTAAACTATATTAAGATATAATAATTAATATAAGAAAAATTTATAAGTAGACTAGGATTAAGATAACTAACGTCTTAAAAAAAAGACTATATAATAATACTATTATAAAAACTACTAATACTATAATACTAACTATTAAGCCTATAGATATTTAGTAACTTAATTAATAGACTATAGTAATTACCTATAAGCATACTAATAATAGTAAATAAGCTATAAACACCTAAAACTAGAATATTATTATAAACCTTATATAGACCTATAATTAACTTAAAACCTAGTACCCTAATACCCTTAACATAGAAAAACTAGAACTAGTAGAAGAATAACTAGAATAATAAATAGCTACTTAAGGGAACTATAACCTACTAAAGGCACTTAATAAAAACCACCTATAGGAAGTCACTAAGACTATTATAGTAGCTAGGAAATAATAGCCCTAAGAAGTTAAGAACGTTAAAGAACAGAACTAATAACTTATTATTAAACTAATCTAAATATAAGACGCTATAAAAAACAAATAGGACTAGCTATATATAAAAGAGACCTTAGATACCCTTAATAAATAATTACAGCTTTATATTAAAGCCTAAGGTAACTACTAGAAATAATAGTAATTAGAATAAGATTTTAAATAAACTATATATAAAGCTATTAACTTTAATATATAAGTAACTAAGATAATTATAGTAGGTAAGAAAGCTATTACTTACTAGACTAGAAACCTATAAAAGATTCTAGACACTATAAACTAAGATATTTAATAACTACTAAATAAGTATAATAAATAAGTTATTTATAGTATAATTTAAACTATATAGTTACTATATAATAAGCTACACTAGTTTAAATAATAGATTAACTATAAGATAAATATTAAAGAAAAACCTTATATAATAGTAAGAGTTTATTTATAATTATATTAACTATTACCTTAGGACCTTACTAGCTAAAATATAATAGATATTCTAGATACCTTTAAACTTATAAAGGAACTATAAGTAAGAGTATATATAATTATAGGACTAGTTAAGATCTTAGTAGTTAAAAGAAAAAGAACTAGGTTTCTATAACCCTAACTTTATTTTTAAGAACTAACCCTAAAAAAACTATTATAGTATAAGGAACTAGTTCTAATAAAATAGAAACTAGTAGTAAAAAAGAAAAAGATAAAGAACCTTTTTACTATAAAGTAGTACTACTAAGTAAGATAAAATAAAAAGTAGTAAAATAACTAATAGAATTAACTTAAGTAAACCTAATAATAATTAAATAGACTAAAGAAAAGACTTAGTATATTTAATAATAGGCTAATAACATACTATTCTTTTTACTACTTATAAGTAGTATAAATAATAAAGGTTAAGGACCTTACGCCTTATAAATTAACGTAATATATATAACTACTAAAACGTATAATTACACCTTTAAAGAAATCTCTAAGGAAATAAATAATTAAAGCCTCTGTTTTTATAGAACTAGAGATCTTAATATTAAAGGAGAACCTATTATCTTAAACTAGGAAAGCCTTAAGTTTAGAGATTATAAACACCTAGCCCTAGAACACCTATTATATAAGAAGATATTTTAGACTAACTATATTTATAATAAATATAGTATATATAAAGTAGCTAAAAAAATTAACGCCTTTTATCTTAAGAGGATTAAGAATAAGGTAATACCTAAGTATTATACTAGTAAGGAATTATATTACTAGAAGATTAAGGAGTATAGGCGTTAAGCTATTTACCTTAAACTATACCTATAATACCTAGTAGTATATATAACTAGTATAACCTAATATTAGTTAGACTACTACTATAATAAGTATAAATACTACTATATAAAGAAAGTATAAGTATAGTAAATATAAATTAAGAAGGCTAGGACTTACCTAAACTAGCTAAAAGACTTAAGACGCTAACTATAAGTAGGGTATAGGTAGCTAAAAGACAGATAAAAACCTTATATATTATAGTAATAAAAGATAATAGTTATGTCTTCCTATAGGTCTTACTAAACAGACAGCCTATATAAGTTATAGTTAATAGTAAAGTATAAGTAAACTTAATATTACCTAGATTAGTAAATAAGTAATAAATTATATAGGTCTATAAAGAATAACTACACCCCCTATAGATAGTTAAAAGAGAATAAGTCTAGTATAGTAAAGGAATTATTAATAAGGGGATAGTATACCTCCTAATAAATATTATAGGCCGTAACTAATAACTTAACTTTAATATTACTAATATAGGAGAATTTAATATAATATTAGGAATTCCTTAGTTAAGAAAATACAACCTAGACATTAGCTAGAAGTCTAGCTAACTTTAGTAAAGAGATTTAGCGTTACGTTATTTTAATTAAATATATTTAGAAAGATTTACTATTTAGTCTTTTATTTTAAAGTAAGTTTATTATACTTATAAAGCTATAACTATTATTCTATACTTTAATATTATCTAGTAATACTATAAGTAATAGTCTTACTATTAAATTACTAACTTATATCTTAATAAGAGAAGCTTTAGATCTATATAGTAATAGGGGTAAGTAAAATACGCCTATGATGCTACCCCCTATAACCAACATCATAATAGAGGGGGAATCTTTACTAAAAGTAAAGTTCTACTCTAGGGGGTTAGACGTTACGGCCTGGTACCATTGTATATAATCTTGTAGATATTACTAAGTTTTAATTTCTTAGTTAAATCTATTTACAACACATTTATGGATTACCATAGACTTTCTTCCACTGTGAGTAATTAACAGGTTCATAGGGCAAGCTGTGATAGTCTGCAGCACAATGAACCTTGAAGTCCATTTTGTGTCCGGAAAGTAAGGTCGGTGGGATCAGAAGCTGCAAGATGTCTTCTCTGTCCTCGATAGGTGACAGGCGTAATGTCAGTGCGGGATTGAAGCCCAACTCGTCGATCCAATCATCAATCCTGTGGAGGTTGTTCCAAAATCTTCTTGGCACCCATACTTTATTCAAACTATCCAGAGTGGACTTCTGCGCCGTGATATGGCAATACCAATCACCAGGTTCACCAGGCCATTGTCCTGGACCAGGTGTGGTGTAGACACCTAGGCCAATCTGGGCTACCACTGTATGGGTCGGATCGTATGAGAGTTTCCCGTTGCTGTTATAGATTCTGGCTTGTTCTGGGTGAACAGTCCTATATCCGACGGTGGCGCGAGCCCCCCAACGTGGCTCGATAGGTATTCCGGAAGCAAAGCTTGTAGCCAAAACGCAAACTGTCAGTAATTGCGACCGCATAATTGAAGGGGAGACGCGAGGAATTGCGGTGGCGGGGAAGGAAGGGAATTAAGTCTGAGTACTACACTTCGTATAGTAAGAGATGCAGTTGAGGTTGGACGGAATGTGGCTTTAAGTATAGGGTATGACTTGGGCTTCTAACGAAGTATCACTCAGTCAGATTGATTGTTTAAAGCATCACCACCTGATGCAGGTCATATATTGCGCTAGATTTCAAGTCCCAATTGACTTATACTAGGTTCTAATTGTCATAGGACCAAGTTAAATTAAAAGTTTGTTTTTCAAATAATAACTTAATAGTTTTTCAGTACTGCTAGCAAAATATGTACAGGGTGGCAGGGCCAAGTTAATCCCCCCTACAATGTTACCCCCCACAGCTGGTATCATGATAGAGGGTGAATATTCAGCAAAGTGAAGTCCTGTAGTAGGGAGTTAAACATTAGTTACGTAACAGGGGTTACTAACTTTGGCCTGCTACTATAGTGTGTATCTAAGGCATAACAGTTTGAATTAATTGATTTTCTATGTTACTCCACTACATATAGATATTTGATTAGGACTAATCTAACATTAAACTAATATATTAAAATAAGCCTTTTCTAATGATCTTATTAAACTGGATACCGAAAGGGGTTTCTTTACTTCCTCGTTGTCTTCTTTTTTTAGAATATACTAAAATAAAATTGCCTAGCATCAGTAGCTCCGTGCTCTACAAGGATGAGGAGACCTAAATCTTAGGCGTAGCTACCTATATAAAACTAGAAAGCAAATGGATTTCTACTGCGCAAGACCTTAACCCTTCTGATGCACTCTATTCTCGATCTCCACACCTGCGTATAACCTTTTCAAGATTAGCCCACGCATGTATATGTTCCATCCAAATCTCTTTAAGAAGTTTCATTGATTCAAACCATTATATATTCTGTTAATTATAGCTTTAGTACACATGTATCACTTTGAATTCGGTGCATCGTGAACCTGCATCTGCTTTACCAAGCCCACCCACCTCGAACCCTAGTTGTTTATTTACTCAGCAACTCCGGTCTGCCACTTGTGGTCCATAGGAATAGAATCAAGTTTCTCTGGACCGCAAAATGTTTATTTACCTGTTAAGTTTGACTTAGGTGCGTAGGTGGTGTCAGCATCAGGATATTCATCAGGAGTGTCATTCTTTTTCGGTTCCGTTGTCGGGTCGCACTTCAATAGTGCTAACCCTGCAAAGAATGTTTCCTGGTATGCGACATCCAGTTGGGCCTGGACGTTGGCGTCTTTGAAAGGGACCTGGGTCTTCTCATACCGGACGTTGGTGAGCGCGCCCTTTGCCAGAATTGGTAGAGATTCCCAACGGACTAGCGCGCGCTCGAAAATGTTCTCGCTGTCAGCATTTTGCAAGGGCGAGATGGCGTTGTCGTTAATCTGCATTTTGGCGTGCGTTGGCATATCGAGGCCGACGTCTGCTGCTCTGAAGGAGAACTTGCCATCAGCTGTAGATGAGGCACCCCAACTCAAGTGATACATCGTGTAGGAGACACCGACTGGCCAGATGGGTGTGATATCATCCTCCTCGCAACCCCATCGGTTGACCCAGACAACCACGCCGGCCCAGTAATGACGGTGACTATTACTGTTCCCTTCGGCCCAGCGAACCTTGGGAGTGCAGTGACTATACATGATGCCATTGCGATCATTGCTCACTCCGCGGCGGGCGTAGACCTGGCCGTTACCACCATCTCCACAACCACTTCTACCACCGCCAGTTGGCTGCAGGCCAGCTCTGCAGATTTTCACAAGAGATCAGTTGGGAAATAGCCACCATAAACGCATTGTCTCTGGAATCTCATTGTTGAGGCGGAATCCGCAGATTTGTACTTACCCGAGCCTTCCCTCACCATCTACAGCTAGGTAAGGATCACTGCCGCCAGAAACCCAAGGATATAAATTAAGCCAAAGCTTAAGATCACCTCCTAGGCCATCAGCCGCGCTTATGTAAAAGCAACAACAACGTCAGAGTTAATCTATTCATGCCCGTTAGCATTGTCGCCAGCGCGTGGTAGGACTAATGATGCAACGCCGTGGGACAGGGCAAGACAGGTCAGCAAGAGACCAAAACCGTTTGACATGACTGCTAAAGAGTAGACAATAACTGCAAAGAAAGATAGGATGGCGACTTTTTCCACAAGTCAAAGAACGCAAAGAACAAAATCACGTGCAGCGATTCAATGGCTAAACATTTCAATTTATCCTCATTGACTTGCATTAGACATTACTAGTGCCGTTAATTAAAGAAATATTTATGCATAGACGCTCAGTCGGCTAGACCAGGGCTCCTGGAGTTTTAAAAAAAACCTGATAAGGAGATTGCCGATTGTATTTTTAGGATTGAAATTCAAGCGACGAAACCTGGGTGCACAGTTCGGGGGGGGGGGGGTATTCCAGCTTCGGGGGGGGGGTATCTAGAAAGTGGAGCAAACTTTAGGGGGGGGTGTAAGGGTTATATATACACTATTTGTTATATAACTTTACGCAGTACAGTGCCTCTACAAGGGGCTTAAGTTAAGGGGGGGGTATTAGCTAGCTAGTAGGGCATAAGTTATGTTCTAGTATATATAAGTTATATATAGGATATTAGTTAGATATTGTCAAATGTGGCGGAATTACACGTGAATTACCTGGCGAATGCACGGTTGCCCTGCGGCGAATTGTCGGGGAATGGGCGGTGAATTGGCCCCACTTTGAGGGGTTAATCCACTAATCAAATAACCAGGATTAGTCTAGGATTTCCCTACCTAGAAATAGGGGAGTTTTAGTAGTTCTATAGGTTCTGTAAGATTATTATTATATAATTAATTAATTAACTATTATAATCCTTACTATTTAATAATTAATAGTCTAATACGTACGTCTGTAATAACTAATATACCTATTTACTAAATAATATTATTATAATAAGTGCTAAGAATAATAATAATAAGGTAACTATTTTATAATTATATAGTAATTAGTTTATATAGCTTAATACTATCTAAGTAAAGATAAAGCGCTATAATCTCTAGGAATATATTAACCTAAAAGTTATAGCTATAGACTAATTAATCCTTAAGATATATCTAAAGAAACTAATAAAGCTACTTATTATATAATATCTACACGCGTTATCTAAGGAGGAGCTTACTGCTTACTAAGAAGTTACTATAGCTATAGTAATTACTAGGATATCCTAGTAAGTAACTATATAGCTATATATAGTAAGAAGTAAGGCTATTATAACTATACCTAATAGGCTTACGTATAAATCTAAACATGTAGTAACGCTAGATAATCTTAACCTATATAATCTTATATACTTAAATAGCTAGATAAGCTACTATTATAAAGAAGTATATAAGTATACTACTTACTAAAAGGACGTTAAAGACATAGCTAACGTAGTTAAATCTACTATATCTACTAATCTTTAAGAAATATATTATAAGTTTACTAAATTACTAGCTAAATAGCTTAATAAGCTAAGTATAGTAGTAGGAATAACTAAGAAAGAATATATAAGGTATACCTATAATAAGTATAGTAAAGTGTTAGTAAAGGCTTAGTAAAAGGCCTTAACTACTAAGAAAAGTCTTACTATATAGCTTAATAAATAGAACGTAGCCTATAGTAAGTTAGTATAAGTTAATTTACCTAACTATTAACAGCTAGTAATTTAGTTTAATAATCTTATTACTACACTATAAAGTAGTGCAGTAAGCGCCTAGCTAGATTTATATATAGTAACTAGTAAAATAATAAGTAATTAGAATAATCTTAAATAGTAGTCTCTATTTAAAATAGCACTAGATAGGGTTAAAGCCCTTACTAATAACTTACTATATTATAGCTAAGTAGGCTGTAGCGTATTTAGCCTAACTAGAAGTAATAGTAATAATAACCTATATAGTAAAGCTATAGTAAAGGAAAATAAAGTCACTAATAAGAGGTATTACTATTAATAAAGTATAAGTAAAAAAGTAAAGTGCCTTATATACTTTAGTACTTATCTATTATATCTTTATTACTTTATAAATAAATTATAAAGACCTAATAATTAGTATATAAATATATAACGTTAGTAATAGATTAATACGTATATTATAAGTAATCCTAACTTTACTAAGTAAGTGTAAAAAATTAAGGCTAAGTTATATTAACTATATAGTAAATACTATATAAAGGTAGCTTTTTATACTACTTTATAAGGCTATAAGCTAGGTAATTTAGCCTTACTTAATTTAGGCACTACTAACTATATATTTAACTATATATTATAGTTTATTATATTAGTAGTAGCCTTAATTAGTAACTATATTTAGGCTAGTACTCCCTAAGTTATAATTACAGGATATAGTACTATAGAGATTACTTTAAAAGGCGCTAATAGCTTATAAATAAAGCTCTATATATATAACGTAATATATTATAGTATATTTACTATATTACTTATTTCTTTTATAAGGGTATACTAGTAAGGTATATAGTAAGATATAAGCCTAGGTAATAATGACCTAAGGCGTACTAACTATAGCCTTATAGGCTATATAGAAAAGTAATATAATAAATAAGTACTTAAATATTATAAGTAACGTAGCTATAGCTAAGAAAGTAAAGGCGCTTCTACTATATACTCTACTAATAACTTACTACTAATCCTATAATTAAGAAATAAATATATAACGTTAACGTAGTAATAACTACTTTATAGTAATATAATAATATAGTATAAGCGTCTTAGCTACCTAGGTGCTAGGGCTTTATAAAGGATTATAAACGCTATATATAGAGTACGTTTAACCTAAGTTAACGCTATAATAATATTAGACTATAATTTATATAGTCTTAGTAAAATAAGGCAGTAGATATACTACTAGCCTTATAAATTAATTATAAATATAGCACTAGGTAATTACTTAGCACTAGACTTTTATAATCTTAAATAAGGCTATATAAGATACTACTTAGTAATAGTAATCTTAGATTAGGTAATAGAATTTATATAGGATTTCTACTTATATAGCTACTACTAAGATATTATTAAATTATTAATAAAGGGGGTTTTTATAATATTAAAAACTAAATATTTAATTATACTAAAAGTTATTAAGGCTAACTAAGAAGTCTTACGTCTTAAGTAACTTATTAATATACTTTTTAATTATAAGATCTTTATTAAGCTATTAGTAGTAAATACCTAGGCTTAAAATAGTAGCACTAAGTAAATTACTATAATTATTAAACTTAAGGCATAATATATATATATATTAATATAAAATTACCTAAAGTCCTATAGTCTAAGATTATAACTATAGCTATATACCTCTATAATTAAACGCTATTAGTAGCTTAAAGGTAGAAATTCTTTTATTAATTATTTTACTTATATTTTATATTTAATAAGTACACTAAGCCTTTACTAATAGTAAAGCTAGATCTTTTATATCTATAAGTCTATAGCTACTAAGCATACATGCTAATAGCAGACGTATAACTATTATATAACCGCTAGTAAAAGGGTACTACCTACGTGTAGATTAGATTTCTTATTAGGTATACCTCTAGTAATTTATATTATATTTAGTATTTAGTCTAAAATAAGGTCTTTACTATATATAACATTATATTTAATAAGAAATAAATCTCTAATAGATTAATAAATAGATACCTTAATAGGCTTTATAAAGCTAATTGTATAGTAATTTAATAATAAGTTAACTAGCTAATTACAGCTAGTAATTAACCCCCTATACATAAGGAAGCTAATAAAGAAATAAATAAAGTAATTAAACACGCTAATATTACTCTGCTAGGCGCTCTGTAATTAGGTAACGCACTAGAATATCTATATAAGTGTAATAATATCCCTAGGCTAAGGGGCGGAATGCCTATAAATTAGTTAATCGCCAGCCAATTAGCAGTACGTTAGCCTAGCCAGACTATATTACCCTTTAGCCTAGCTAGCTAGCTAAAGTAGCTAAGTTAATTTCTATATCTATAGATACCCCTACCTATTAATCTATTAATTAATTAATTAATTAGTTAATTTAACCTCTATCTTCTTCCCTAATTAAGGCCTTTAGCTAATTCTCTTACAATAAGCAGGTAAAATTTACACTTCTTCTTACTTTACTACTATTACTACTAACCGCCTTTTTTACAGCCTTTATAGATATTAACGTAGGGGGTAGTAAAATAAGAACTAATAGCTTTAAATTAATTAATCTAACAGCTAATAGCTAATTAATTACTAATAGTAAAACAATTAATAGGTAAATACCTAAATAAATAGCTAATAGCCTATTAATTAATTTATTATTAGTCTATAGCCTATAAGCTAGTAACTTACTTAAGTTATTAATAGTTAATAGCCTATAAGCTAGTAACTTACTAAGAACTAATAGTTCTAAAGTAATAAGCATAGTAATACCTTATACCTTATCTTATCCTTATGTAATTAATTTATAAGATATTACTAAGTATAAAAAGGTATTAAATTCCTAAGTAACTACAGCAGGCCTATTAGGTAATCTCTAGCTAGTAGTAACCTTATTTAAAGACGTTATAAAAAGGTATTATCTTACTATATACGTAGGTAGTTACGTTACGCTAAGAACTTTATTTAAGGCGGCTTTTCTTATAAGGCTTACTTTATAGTAAAAGCTTATAGACTATATATAAGGTAACTTATAGGTAAAGTTATAGTTTAGTATATTCTAAAGTTAACTAATAGGTAAAGATTACTACCCTTAGCTAGTATATACCTCTAACTAAGAAATAATATATATATTCTATATTAAAAATAATAGTATACTAGTATATATATTTTATACTAGTATATATACTTTATACTAGTATATATACTTTA